CCAGAGGCACTCAGAAGAAAGGCCTGGACATCTGCTTCTGAAAAATCAATCATTGGAAACTCTATGGGGCACAGTTTTATTCTGATACACGTGAGGTCACCATGAATAGAAATGGACTGGACAATAACTGGTACTGAAATTTTATCTAGGAGAGTGGAGGTGTATCTTCAAGACAGGCCTTGAAAAATGTTGAGAAGAAGACAGATACAGTCCTGAATCCATTACCTGTGAATGGTAGCTCCCTTTCCCAACTTTCATTGTATGTGTATCTTCCGTTACCCCGGTCCTGCCCCATGCTACCATTTGACCTTGTATGTTTGCTGCCACCATGGGTCTAACCACTTACTTTAACTGCCCCATATTTAGTAACTAAAGAATCAAACTCTTTAGCTTCCCGAACAATAGCTGATTAATTGCTGCTAATGCCCACCCCCAAAGAAGCTCTTGCGATGTGGTGGTTAAAGCACTCAGCTGCGAACCAAAAGGTCAGTGATTCCAACCCACCAGACACTTTGTAGGAAAAAGATGAGGCAATCTGCTTCCATAAAGATTCACAGCCTTGGAAACACTGTGCGGGAATTTCTACTCTGTTCTATAAGTTGCTGAGAGTTGGAATCGACTTGATGGCAATGGGTATGGTATAGAAATGCCTATCCCCACAATTATTTTATCAGACTTTTATTTTAACTTTTTGGTGAGAAAATTTTCATACATGAAGTAAATGCAAGAGTATAATACTCCCTGTTTACCCCTCACCCAACTTCAACAATAATCAATAGTCTGCTATGCTTGAATATCTATACTTCCATACACACCTTACTTTTTTAACTGTTCTGCTTCCTTTTATAAAATTTTTATAAATGGAAATCACACATTTTAACTGTACTATTTTAATAATTTGGATTCATCTGAGTAACACACAAGGAGCCCTCGTGGTACAGCAGTTAAGCACTTGGTGGCCAACCCCCCCAGAAAAAATGTCGGTAGTTTGAACCCACTACTTACTCCATGAGATAAAGGTGGCGGTGTGCTTCTTTAAAGATTTCAGCCTTGGGACAGAATTTCAAATTCTCATAGAGTCTAGGCTTTCTGGAGCGATGCAGGGTGGATGACCCTGAAATTATTGCCTAAAGATAATCTTTAAACTTTAAACCAAAAATATCTCCTGAAATTTTCTTAAACCTGAGTAATGGTTTAGCTTAACAAGGTCTGCCTTGAGCATTATAGTCTTTTAAGAACTATCTATGTGGGATCAAATTGACAACAGTAAACTGGAAAGATTAGATAGGAAATTTAAGGGGCAATGAGTTTATGTAAATGAGACAACTCAGAAATGGAGGGTGGGAGTGGTTGCACAACTCAAAAAATATAACCAATGTCACTAAATTGTACATGTAGAAACCATTGAATTGATGTATATTTTGTTCCATATATTCTCAACAAAAAAAAATTCATAATAATATTTAAAGGAAAAGGAAAAAGATTTCAGCATTGGAAAGCCTATGGGGCAGTTCTACTTTGTCTTAAAGGGTCACTTGAGTTGGCATAGACTCAGTGACAATGGGAATAGGGGGTAATACACATTCTTATTACAACGTAGAGTATTCTTATCTCTCCCAGAAAGCTCTCTTGGGCTCTTCTCAGGCAATCTTACCACTTCCCTTCCAAGAGGTATCAGTTCTGATACTTTTTTTTATTTTAGTTTCACCTGCTCCTGAGTGTCTATAAATGGTTTCATTCATATGTAGTTTTTTTTTTTTTTTGTCCACCTTTTTTTCCAGTTAGTCTAATTTTGTGAACTTTGTCCATGTTGCTGCATATATTTATTGTTCATTGTTTTTGTTGTTGCTGATGATATTTTTGTTGTTGTTCTATGCTTCCAGACAAGCTTTTCTTTTTACTATTTTTTTTATCATAGTCATAAAAATACAGGACCACCCACAGAAGGACAAATATAGTATTAGTTCACTATTGTAAAAAGTCAAGGAAAGGTTTATATATGGAAGGAAACTTCTTAGTTGGTTACCAGAAGTGGGAGGGGAAGGGAAGGAACAAAGAAAAAAAAAATGCATTGACGCATGTCACTTTAGTTTTGTGTATTTCACGGTACATAAATTATATTTCAGTAAAATGCATTTATATATCTATATACACACACACACACACACACACATATATACAGGACCACCACTTTCCCTGCCTCACAACTAAATAACTCTAATGATGGCAGTTGAAGGCCAAGTGGAGGCCCGAGGCCCGTGCTACTAGGGCAGGTCAGGCAAATATTGGAAGAGGATCCACAAGCCTAAAGTATACTTGATGTTTGTCTTAATTTCTGACAATACAAGACCTATTGTTGTTGCTGTTACTCTCCATCAAGTAGATTGCATTCATGGAGACCCCAGGTGTATCAGACTGAAAACGTGCTCTGTAGGGTTTTCAAGGTTGTGACCTTTTGGAGGCACATAGTCAGGTCTGTGTTCCAAGGAGTCTCTAGGTGTGTTTGAACTACCAACCTATGGGCTAGTAGTAGGAAAGCTTAACCATTTACACCACAAAAGGACCCATTAAGGACCCTGATTTACTCCTTCTAGGGATGACAGCAGGAGCTCTGGTGGCATAGTGCCTAAGGCATTTGATTGCTAACCAGAAGGCTGGTGGTTCAAAACCACCCACCCCCCTCCTTGGAAGGAAGATTGGGCTATCTACTTCCATAGAGATACCACCTCAGAGTAGAATTGACCCCATAAAACACATCTGTGTTCTCAGAGTGCTTGTCACTGGGATGTTGGGAATGTCCAAATGTCAGTGTTGGTGGGTTGGAGGTGAAGCTAGAGAAAGAACTTGGGATATTGAAGTCTGAAATAATAGAAAGCCAGTGGAGGAAGGAGTTTTGGAAGTGAGAGGGAAAAGCCATTTACTGAGATGTCAGGTGCTGTTATGTTAAGAGTTTCACATACCTCAGACTCAAACCTTCCTTTTTAGGGTTGCTACACATACTGGTGACGTAGTTAGTGCCTAAGGCATTTGACTGCTATCCAGATAGTTGGCAGTTCAAACCCACCAGCCACTCAGTGGAAGGAAGACTGCGCAATCTACTTCCGTAAAGATTTACCACCTTGGAAACCCAAAGGGGGTCGCTATAAGTTGGAATTGACTCGATGGCAGTGAGTTTGGTTTTGGTTTTTGGCACACACAGGTAGCACCTGAAACGGAAAAGGAGAGAGATGAAAAGAAACATCTACTCAAATAAGCAAAGGGGAAAAGAAAAAGAACTGAGCTTATTAAAAAAACCCTATCAAAATAGAGCCAATATACTCCTAAGGATTGAGGCCAGAAGGAGGGGACACATTAATTATATGCTAAAGTAGCTCACACTTTCAAGCCGTTACTGTATGTAAGAATGCTACTCGGGAGTGATCTAAGGCATGCCAGCTTTCTCTGCCCTTTCACCCCCTCTGGTGGAAGTGCTAAGCATCAGTTCTCAGGTCAGATCACCAGCAGCACAGTGAAGAGGTGAGGAAATGAGATGAATGTGCTTCTCAACTCTACAAATTGCCTGGGGATCTGGTTACCACTCACATTCTGATTCAACAGGTTGGAGTTCTTGCATTTTTGACAAGCTCCCATGTGTTGTCAATCTTCACACTACACATTGATGAAACAACAACAAAAAACCAAACTCACTGCCATTGAGTTGATTCTCACTCACAGTGACCCCCACTGGGCTGTAAATCTTTACGGAAGTAGATTGCCCCATCTTCCTTCTGTGGAGCAGCTGGTGGGTTTGAACCTCTGACTTTCTGGTTAGCAGCCAGATGCCTTATCCACTAAGTTGGATCAATAATCAGCAGCACAGGAAACCCTGAGTGAGTTTGCCCAATTTGACATGAAACTGATCTCTAACAATAGTTTTACGTAGCTTTACATCTGACAAACAGTGAACCTAACCCACTAATTGAAGAATTTGAGTTCATTTGGGATGTTTTCATAGTTGTCTCAATTATTGACTTCTGTACAAGTCACCAGCTACGTCATACAGTTGATTATATTAGAACATTGGAATCTAGTTAGGAAACAGTGTGATGATTTTGTCATATGGAATCAGACTTTTATTTTAGAGGGAACATTTAATGAGTTCTCTGATATTGCAAATCAAGAGGCTGATGCACAAAGAGATTGTGTGACTTGACCAGGGTCACACATCTAGTTCAAAGCAGTAAGACTAAACTCCAAGTTCCTTGACATCAGTCCTCATGTTGTCTGTCTAGATTAATTCCTATTTTTCTGTTTCTCAAAGTGACTGGAATAATTTCTGCTACATCCTATGGGTTATCTAAGTCCTATGTGGTAGGTCACAAAGGTCAGGAAATATGGCACTATACATCTCATTTTGACAGTTTTCCTCATGTATTATTCTTTTGTAATGTAGTGTCCTACTTTTTATCAGTAAAGTTGGTTTATAGTCATCTACTAAAAGAAAAAGAAACACCAGACATAGTCTTACTAGCATCATTTTTCTTAATGTTTAAACTTCATTCTATTTTAGTCTTTTTACCTGAATTCAGTCTATTAAAACAAAACACATCAGTTCTTAACTGATAGTCTTTAAAACTTCCCACCAAAATAATGCAAGTTAATTTCATATGGTAGAGTGAGAAGATTTCAATAAGTATGGATTGACTGAATGATTTCGGTAGATGAACGAATTGACTATTATATTCAGATAAGAAATCCATCATGGATAAAAAGCAAACCAATGAACTAATAACACCCTCCAATGAAGCCATACTCAAAATGGTTTTTGCCTTCACCATGTAATTTCAAGTTCTCTTGTCTTCAACATCAAAATTCACTTTAGAGTATTTAAGTGATTTTCATGCCTGACAGAGTGGAAAGTGAATTTCCAAACTGCCCTCTTCATTCCCAGCCCAGCCAAAAAAAAAAAAAAAAAGACATGAGAGTAAATAAAAAGTTTCCGGATCTCTTTACGCATATAGGCGTAAAATGCAGATGAGCAAAGTGAGTGGGTGTGTGAAATCGTTTGTAACAAAAACCTATTATTTACAGATGAGAAATTTATATTGTCAGCGTAATATCTGTGAGGCTAAGCAGAGCTGAAGAGTATATAAAAGCAGTGCGCTTTGGTGCAGAAGAACAGAGCTCAGGACCCAGAGTGCTTCCAGAGTTCTGAGAGGTTCCCTCTCCACTTGCTCTGTTTCAGGTCACAGTATCACAAGGTAAGATTAATACTGGATTATTGTAAGATCGTAGATCCTGGTTTTTGGTACAGTTAAATATTCTTAAGGGAGCAAAGTATTATGAATTAAAGTTACTCTTTCATCTTATATTTTATTATAAATAACTTACAGGACAGCATTGAGATGAAAAAGTGATATAAAAGTGCAATTACATCTACTTCAATGTAGTGAGGTTGCTAAATGTGCCAGGGCGATAATTCAATTCAAAGATATAAAATAGAAAAGAAAACAACTATTCAAATCAATATGCTTGTTATGAGAACTACATTTTAAAATAAATAGAAACATTTTGGAAAAAAAATCATTTTCCTTAGATTTAATAGACGTACATACTGCTTCAAACAGATGGCACCTTTTATATTCAGCAAGAATGGGTCTATTAGAAAGGCTAAAACAGCAATTGCTCTTTGCCAACTAAAACCTCTGATTTTCTCAAAGACCCAATTCAAATTCTCTTTTAAGTATTCAAATTTCTGATAATTCTGTCAAAAAAATCAAAGCCCAGGAAATTAGCTCTTTGTAAATAAGACTTAATATAGTGGTTGTGGGAGGTCTGGTGGCATAGTGCCTAAGGCATTTGACTGCTAACCAGAAGGCGGGTGGTTCAAACCCACCAGCCACTCCTCTGAAGGAAGGTTGGACAATCTACTTCTCTCGTGATACTGCCTCAGAAACCCAAGGAGGGGTCGCTATGAGTCGAGTTTGACTCAACTGTAGTGGGTTTGGTTATAGTGGTTGTAGAGGATAAATATCACCCATTACTTTGAATGAGTGTGAGTAATCAATAATTATTTGCTATTAATTGAAGGACAACTATAATTATTAAACTCTAAAAAGTCTACATTCTAGAATAATATTTTAGTAAATCGCTTTAGGAAAAAATCAGATATTCTAAAATATCTACTTTCTAAAACAAAGACCAGTTTTACAGAGATCTTTAATGGAATAAATGATTAAGCAGTGTGTGTTTCCATATGTACTTTTCTGGTAGAGAAAATGAGCTAACCAGGTTTAAAGATACCTGTTGTTATGTTGTTGTTATGTGCCGTCGAGTCAGCCCTGACTCATAGCGACCCCTCCTTGGGTTTCCGAGGCAGTATCACTACGGAAGTAGGATTGCCCAACCTTCCTTCCGATTTGTCCTATATTTAGGGATATAATACATTGTCTCCTTTCTTTGGTCTAAGATTAATCTTTCTAAAAGATTTCCTACATAAGAAATACTATTGTTATTATATTGTACTTTTAAATATAAGTTGAAAATTATGTTTCTTACCAAATCACAGGTTCTCTCATTTGGCCACCCAAAGAAGGGAAAAGTACGTTGAAATCGTTTTCATATTAAATAAGATTTTGATATTAAAATAACAAATATTTACCTTCTCAGCAATGGTGCCCTATCAATTGACTCTATTCTGAAATTTTCACTATTTCCCGACTTATTTATTCTTATAAAAAGAATAAATGAAATTAAAGAAACAAGTTCTTTCTTTCCATAGGACTTATTTTATTGCTTGTAAGGGACTTTGAATTCCCCTCTTTATTGTTGTTTCTTCTTCCATCAGCTAACACAAGGGCAGAATACCACCTGCTCTAAATCGGCCTCGGTAGAACATACAGAACAAATTGCAAAACCTTTAGGGTCCTTGGGTAGAGGCAATTATTTAGAACTAAATTGACAGCTTTCAGTCTTTTCTAAGACCCTTTTCAGCAGTTGTGTAATAGTAAAAGGAACTACTTGCTTTGATTTCTAAAAATTCCTGAAAATGTGAATATTATAATTATTATCAGAAGATGTTACCTAAATATATGGCAATGTTCCCAAAGTTTTCTGAAGCATAGCCAAACACCAAATTGCTAATTTAGTGTTGATGAATGAAGAAAGGTGAATAAATAATTCCTATCATGTCGCTTTGTCTAATTGACCACTCAATCTTAAAAGGACTTTTTATCTTTCAAGGAAAAAAGTTACTGTGGCAGGTATTGCAGTCTCCACATTTTAGTGCCAGAGACAGATAGTAAATACGGCTAGGATGTTAAGGAAAAGATTGATAGTTTTAAATGATAATATTTGTAAAATCTTTATTTCAAACCAAATGCCATTTGCTAAAAATACTCATTCAAATTATTTGTGGATAAGCATAATCTAACTTGGATTGAAATCCTCACTTTTCAAAGTAAGCACTGTTGGGCTTTTAAGTAGCAGAGAGAAGTCCACGACAAATGCCGGACTTGAGGTTTTCATTCAGAAAATAGAGACACTAGCTCTGTGTGGACACTGCCCACATTCACGTGGCCGCTGTGCACACTGCATGTCACGTCCTCAGCGTGCATTTCCTTGTGACACTAGGGCAAGTAACCAAGTGTACCATACAACCAGGTCCAGTGTGTCACTAGCAGCAAATGACATATTCTGGACTAAGACCAATTATAAAACAACCTGGGGACTTCTAAGACTTCAGATTCAAGCACTTATTTTCTTTATGACAGTAATCTCTTAGTTTCTTAGTAGTTACTGTTCAAGTTGCCAGAAGCATTAGTTCTTGTTGCAAATTGCTTGTCTTTAAAATGATTTTTTTCCCCTTTAATTTAGAATAGGTCAATGCACCCTAAAATACCTCAAATCTGTTGGCCGCTTTATAATTACAAAGTCTAGACCAAGTTACACTATTTAAAATATAAATGAATAATACATCTGAACCGACAGCTGGTATGCCAAGTTGTAGCCTGAGGCTGCTTTAAGATGGTTGAAATGCAGTATAATGTAAATGCTTGGAAGTGGAGGGCTATTAATTGAAAGCCAGACTGATAGTGAGGGGGATGGGCAGCATTATGGATAAGGTGCCATTCAGGCTAACCATATGTAGCAGATCATCTACAGGGGCTATTTTGAATGTTTATCGTGGTCCTTTTCAATTTCAGTTCTGGAAATAAGCCTTCTAATAATTGACAGAAATGTCCTACATTAATGAAAAACCTTAATGGTGGAACACTTCTTTCTTGTCCCATGTTGCCTCCAAAAATCTGGGGAAAAAATATACTTTACTATTTGAAATTAAACTGGAAATATAATCAAAATAAAACTGATAAGACTGGATTTTTCTTTCCATTTGGAATCTGTACTTAGTCAAAATCAAACTAATTTAGCCTGACATATTTAAATATGATTGCCTGCTTCTGTCTCCCTCTCCCTCTGTTCTGACAGGCAGCAGAAATGAAAAGCATTTACATTGTGGCTGGATTGTTTGTAATGCTGGTACAAGGCAGCTGGCAACGTTCCCTTCAAGACACTGAGGAGAAATACAGGTAGTAAACCCTTGGACTTGAAATAGTATAGCATTATGGATAGATTGGTGCTCTGGTAGCACAGTGGTTAAGGCATTCAGCTGCTAACCTAAAGGTCGGTAGTTTGAACCAACTAGCCGTCCTGCAAGACAAGGTTGAGGCAGCCCATTTCTGAAAGGATTGATAGCCCTGGAAATCCCATGGGGCAGTTCTATTCTGTCCTATAGTCTCTGTAAGTCTGAGTGGACTCGATGGCAGTGTTTTTTTTTTTGGGGGGGTAATAAAAGCAGACTTCTCTAAAGTATGGAAAAAAAGTGTGTGTTGCTTTGTAACTTTGTTGTTCTTGTTGTGTGCCATTGTAACTTTAGGGATGGAAAATATGCTAAGCGGGAAATTATAGCTTTTTGAATTCTTCAGAGTATCCTATCCATTCACTCATTACTGATACACTGTGTGGATTATTTTAATTATTCATACCAACTCTTTTCTCTTTGTTACTCCTTTTTAGAAAACAGCATTGTTTCTTGCTTATTGTAAAAGTCCTGCATGTTCATGTATTCCTACATGTTCATATGAAAAATATGCAAAAGTATCTTTAGTATGCAAATTTCTACTATCCAGAGAAAACTATTCATACTAAAAAGTAGATGTATTACTTTCCTGTATTTTGTATATACTATATACAAATGCTTCCCAGAACATAACACAGCTTTGCGTCATGCTTTTTCTCTTAACATTGTATTGGTAGCTTTTCCTGATATTGTTAAAAATATCTATAAATGTATAATGTTTAATGGCTGCATATTAATCCAAATAAAAACTGTACAATAATTTACAAGAAGCTGTTCCTTCTCTGTTGGACACAGAATAGATCTGCAAATTTTCCTACTATAAATAATGTTGTCAGTAATATTTGGTATAGGCATTTTCCCTATATTTTTTACTATTTTCTGAGGATTTATTCCTAGTAGTAGAATTACTGAGTTTAAAGCTTTGATAATATCTTACAAATTGACTTTCCAGAAAAATCACTCATGCACACTCTCATCAGTAGTATAAAAATACTTCTCTCACAGTGACTTTATCAGTATTTAATCTTTGCTAATCTGACAGTTACAAAATAGTATCTCATTATTGTTTTAATTTCTATTTATTAGTATTAATTGTACTGAGTATTTTTCCATATATTAACCATACAACCAATTGTTGATTACTGACTTATAGATTATCTACTATGTAATTTCAAATTAGCATGTGGGTTTTTCTTGTCTTTGTTTGACCTTTTAAAAGTCTTTCTTGGACCATTAGCTACCATATTATGAGGTAATTTAGCTATGTTTTTATACTGATATATGCAAAACCCCATTGGAACCATAAATCTGCTGCCCAAACTAATAATTTGGAACTCTTTATTCTTTGAAAATATTCAAGCCAATGCTCTCTTCTGCCATTACTAGCATGATTATGAGCTGGTTAATTATTTGAAAAAAAAAGATTTATCTATTCCTATGTCAGAAAAAAAAAAGAGCTCTGGTGGTTTAGTGCCTAAAGCATTTGACTGCTAACCAGAAGGCTGGTGGTTCAAACCCACCAGTCGCTCCTCGGAAGGATGATTGGGCAATCTCCTTCCGTAGTGATACTGTCTCAGAAACCCAAGGAGGGGTTGCTGTGAGTCAGATCAAACTCCACGGTAGTGAGCTTTAGTTAGTTTTTTTATTTCAGAGAAAAAGTCAGTTGAGTAATTTGCTATTGGAATTCACAATGGGAATGTACCCAATTATAATAAAACTATGGGATTCCAACGAAAATCTAAGGTCTCTTTGCACCATGTACTGACATACCCTACATGCCTGCATGACTGCTTCATCTAGCCCTGTATTTTGTAGTGAAGATAATCCTCAAGCGAGTTTACAGATTTGTATGTGTCACCAATCACTGTTCTTCACAGATCAATCCCAGCTTCCCAGACAGACCCACTCAATGATCCGGATCAGATGACTGAAGACAAACGCCATTCCCAGGGCACATTCACCAGTGACTACAGCAAGTACTTGGACTCCAGACGTGCTCAGGATTTCGTGCAGTGGTTGATGAACACCAAAAGGAACAGGTAAGAGTTCTGAAACTGGCCCAAAGTTTGCACACAAATACATTACTTACATATGTCTTAAATCTTCTGACTTTCTTAAGTCATCATGCTTAGCATGTGATGCCCATATACTCTTTCAATTTTGACACTTTCCAAGGTTGATGATGCTATCCTTTGTATTATGTCCCTGAATGCCCTATCCCTCACTCCTCCTTTCCTACCCTTCACTGTGACATAGGCTTTAATTATTTTCCCAATTGTGCTCTTAGCAGTATTTACTCTCTTATTCATTTTATCTTAAAATTGAAAAGCTGACTTTTGTGGAACCTGCAGAGTTAGGTATCCAATTTCTGAACAAAAGAAAGAGTATATTCAACATTCTCTTGTAGAGTTCAGACCACCACATTTAAATTATCTCTAGCCAAGTTAATCGTAGTAAGGAATAGAAACACAATACATTCCTTTTCTTGAGGAATGCAATCTAAGAAATTCATTTTAAGTTACAGCTGAGCTGCAGAGCATAGAGAAGAAGGTAAGTGAGAACACAGGCCTGCAGTACAGCATATGTGTTAATACTGGATTTTCTTTGATAAATGTTGAGGTTTTGCTGCATCTAGGCTACTGAAGGAAACCTTAAACAAGAGTTTCACAGAAATGGTGGCATTTCACAATTTCTTTGGAGAGTGGCCCACAAAGGGAAATACACAGGGTAGCTGAAACCAAATTCCCACCACCATCAATTCAATTCTGACTCATAGCGACCCTACACTACAGAGTAGAACTGCCCCATAAGGTTTTTAAGGCTACAAGTCTTTACAGAATCAGACTGGCTTGTCTTTTCCTGCAGAATGGCTGATGGGTTCAAACTTCCAACCTTTTGGATTAGCAGCCAAATGCTTTAACCACTGTTCCACTATAGCTCTTCAGAGTAGCTGAAGGAATCTAAAATTCAGTAAAATGACAGGGATTTGCCTGAATAGAATGGAGAAGGGAGTGGTCGAGATAGAAGAGATTGTGTGCAGGCAAGAAGAACAGGAGAGAGAGAAGCGTGTTCTTGTTCTCAAAGTATAGGTACATTCAACTTCAGGAAAGATGGCCATGATGATCAAACAGATGTTGGGAGAAGTCCTTGATAGGAACATTGGGTGAGGCCATCAGTGAAATATGAGAAGCCACACATTTATAAAAACCAGAAAGACTTTTGATTTTCTAGATAGAGACTGCCACAACTGGCTACATTAAAGCATAGTAATCCATTCTCACATGTGGTTTCTGTGATGTGTTTAAAACGAAACTTTCCAGGGGTGCTATATGCCAGAGAGACTGACAGCATTGATTGCCCGCCTCTGCCATGCTCAAAGCTGTTATGGGCTCCATCTTCTTAGATTTCTTCATTGCCAATTGATCACATAATTCTTTTAATCAATCACCATGTGGTCTTTTTGATAGCAGTTTGAGAAGCTCCCTTGCTTTCCTTTAAAACAATTAACTAATATTAACTCAATGCTTGCTAATAGCAAACAGCTTCCTTGTTGGCGAGTAGCACTGCACAATGGAGAGTCTATATCTCTTTAGCCCTGATGCAAAAGTAATGCACCTTTTTATAAACAGTGGCACAGATAACCAGGGGAGGAGGTAGAAATGGGCATCCTAGGAGGGGTCTTTAGTCCTTCCTTAATTATTAGACCTCTCTCATCAGTCTTCAACCCAGACAATAAATGTAGCTTCAAGACTAGTCCCCCAGCCATCCTCCCTCCCAAATTTTCCCTAAGCCCCTCCTACATAGAATCCCAAACTAGAAGCTGCCACTGCTTATAGGTGAGAAGCATATTGCCAGAGAGACAGATCTTCAATTTAACGTTCACATTTCTTTCAGGAATAACATTGCCAAACGTAATGATAAATTTGAGAGACATGCTGAAGGGACCTTTACCAGTGATGTAAGTTCTTATTTGGAAGGCCAAGCTGCCAAGGAATTCATTGCTTGGCTGGTGAAAGGCCGAGGAAGGCGAGAGTAAGTCTGTACATTCTTATTTGACATTATTTTTTTCCTTGATGGTGAAAACTTAAGGCTAGAGTTATCTCTATATGAATCCAGATTAGGGAAGCTATTAGTATCATCCCAAAAAGTGAGGAAATAACTCTGATTGGTGGGAAACAGTATACAAAAGTCTAGACTGTTTTATCTTTGGTAAGAAGCATTAATAATAGAGTCAAACAGGTTACATTTTTATCTCCCATTATAGTTGTATTATGATTAGATTACTAATCTGTCATCCACACCAGGACCCTTTTGAGAGTAAACAGGGAGTTTTTGATAACTATAATGGAACAATAAGCTTAAATAGGACTATCCTAGGAAAACTAGGAATAAAGAATGAGAAGAATACTGAAAGCAAAGTTTAACATTAAATGTTTATGTAATTGTAAACATTCATGCATTAGTAAATATTCAGACAAAAACTTGATGAAGACTGAAATGACCCAAACATAAGATGTTTAGCAAAATGAAACTCAAAGAAGAGATATGTAGAAGCATTTTCTACTGAACCAAATACCCAATTTTTTATGAGACTGTCATATATATCCATTAAATAACCAAAGCTGAAAATGAAATTAAGTTCCATCTCATTTTCTCGTGATCATTTTGATTGACATTTGAAATATGAGGGACAGAAAATCAATGTCAAACTCTGATTTTTTAAAGAAATTTAGGACAAGCTTACTGAGATTTAAAGAGCTCTCAAGACAAAGGGGAAGTAGTGTTGTGGTTTGGTTTTTAAAATATTAACAATCCAACTTGCAAAACCAATGGTCAAGAGGTTGCTTACACTTGAGTACATTTTATTGTGTTTTAAAGGGATTTCAAAAGTTCTACAATGGTAAACTGATGAAAGTGTTAATACTTTCATGTTTCAGTTTGTAAGGCTGTTCTAAAAATGAGTGATTTTACAGTAAGTAATATGTTTTATTAAATCATAAGCAAATTAATAGTCTCAGCAATAGCTTCTGTGTTGGCAATATTCTAAAATGTTTGATGCAGCCTAGAGTATTGAAAATGGCATGAAGTTATACAGGCTTAATTTTAGATTCCACTTACACTCCTTAATACCTGAAAAAAGTCCTTTCAGATACTCACCGGTTCATACTGGTTTCTATGAGACTTTTGGTAGTAGGACCTCAGTAAATAAAAACTCATTGTTTTCTTAATGACTCTCACATGCATTAGCAGTAACAAGCAATCAATTAAGTATCTATTTAAAACATTTAACTAATTTTCATTCTCTTTTTCTTAGTTTCCCAGAAGAAGTCACCATTGTTGAAGAACTTCGCCGCAGACATGCTGATGGATCTTTCTCTGATGAGATGAACACTGTTCTTGATAATCTTGCCACTCGAGAATTTATAAACTGGTTGCTTCAGACGAAAATTACTGACAGGTGACTACATTTTAGTCCATTCTGAAAAATCATCAAAAGTTTTTAAAATATTTATTGCCATATTTCTACAGATTGTTCTCTATATGGGGGAACTGGTCTTTACTTTCATTAGTAGCGAAAAATATTCATGTTTAAATCATTTGAGAGTACATGTGAGAGTCATTTTTGACCATTGCAATTTTATTCATTCACTCACTGATTCCAAGACATTTATTAAATATCTATAAGGGACGAGACAGTAGGAATAAACCTATGAATAAAACATGGAAAGTGTTAAGTCATTCACATATTAATATCACATTACAAATTGTTATATATGTGAAATTTTGGCACAAAGATAAAATGCCAATATATACGGCATTATAAACTTAATGTAATAAGCATAGTAGTAAAAATCTAAACACCAAAAAAAAAATCACTTATCTTGAAGGATGTTAATTGCTTTTGATAATTATTCATAACTGTATTTTTGTGATGAGGAGATTTTAGTATAAATAATCTTTTAATGCAAATATTCAGGTTTAAAAGACTAAGGTATTTATAAGATGAAGGGATTGATAGATAGCTTTTATCAAAATAAATCAGTGAACTATTTCTTGAGTAAGTTAACAGTATCTTCTGGGTACTATAACTGTGTTAATTCACTGTATTTTTTTTTTAGGAAGTAAGTTATGTCGCCATTCAAGACCATCTTCATAACATCACCTGCTAGCCACTCGGGATGTTTGAAATGCTAAGTTCTGTAAACTTAAGAGACGTATTTTGAAGCCATATTACTTTGCATGCCAATAAATGAATTTTCTTTTAGTGTTCTGTAGCCAAAAGATTTTAAATGGAATAAACTATTGTGAAAAGATTGCTAAAATATCAGCTTTAAAATACGGAAATGCTATATTATTTTCTTCTCATTTTTGATGAAGTACCCTAACCTATTTGCATTTAGCCATGAAATTATTTTTCTATATCAATTTGTACATATTAATAATATCTGCATTATAATGTAGAAGGGAAAGACTGGTAGCCACAGTGGTGAAACTAGAAAGAAAACTTCATTCTTGGAACAATTGTTATAAACATGCTCGCTTTTCAATGTATCAAAGTTAGAGGTAAATAAAATGTTCAAGCTTCTTTACCATTGTCTGTGTCTTCTCTATCTGCCTCTCCACCTGGTGCCCCTACTGCCTCCAAATACTCCTTCCTTCTACACTAATAGCCCATAAGCCAAATTTGCTCCATAGACTTGACTTCATGCATTGAATGGCTGCACTGAGCTTTAACATTTTGAGCCAACATTGAAAAAACAGGCTGTTTTACATAAAAATATTGATTTCTGGCTTCTCTTGAAAAATTGAATCACTAGGTAACATTAGACCCAAAGACAAATCTCCCTTGCTGGAGCTGAGCAACAGCTTCTTTCTTTTTTCTGAAGGATCCCATACTGCGCAGTTCACAACAGTGTCCCCTACACACACACACACACACACACACACACAGAGCCACAGGCACTTGCACACCAGGGACCCTTGGCCCACTTTATGCATATCCCTCACTGCCTAGAACCTACACGTATGTGAGTTCACCCATAATGTCCTATGCCTTTGTCTGCCTGCTCTGTAATAGCCAATATCTTGAGCCAATTTGGTGCTGATTGACATATCTGAGATTTATTTGCCTTGGTGATCTTTTTCTCTATCTCTATAAACCAAAAAGCCAAACTCACTGCCATCAAATCGATCCCTACTCATAGCGACCCCCATTGGGTTTCCAAGGTGGTAAATCTTTACTGAAGTAGATTGCCCAGTCTTCCTTCCACAGAGTGGCTGGTGGGTTTGAACCACCAACCTTCTAGTTAGCAATCTAATGCCTTAGGCTCTGTGCCACCAGAGCTCCTTTCTATCTCTATAGAGCCCATATAAGTTATAAATTCCTAATTACCTGCCAATAAGGTTTCAAAGTTTGGAAATTACTTACATACTTTGATAGTAAGAGTGAATTTGAGATAATACTTCTACTTGTACTCATCCATACATTGATTAACTTTTCCTAAGCTGAATAGAAAAGGGTAAAAGTAAGTCACGTGCTAATTGTATGACCCTGAGCAGGTAATTCAAGCTCTCTGGGCCTAAGTTCTTGATAAGATGAAACAAGACTTAAATTGTGAACCCCCCAAGACTATGGCCTCTGGTTATCCTTCAGGTCTAGAATTGAACTCATTCCCAAAATTTAACTTCCAGCCAAACCACAGACAGATCTATAAGGTGAACAATTACACCAGGTAGGTACACTCTTTAGAATAATCAACCAATGGAGATCAGAAGGGCAGCATTTGCACAGGGAGATAGCTTAGAGGTCAGGAATGCGTAGGAAAGAAGGACATAGGGAAAAGGTAATCACGGACCGGAAATGGGAAGAGAGCTGTTGCAATGTAGGAACTGCAATCAATGTCATGAAACAAAATGCGTATGAACTGTTGAGTGCATAGTGAATTTGCTCTGGAAACTTTCACCCAAATCCCAATTTTTTTTTTTTTTTTAAAGGCCAATGTCAGTCCATTTCAGCTCATTAATGCCTAGGATATCAATATTTATGTGTTCCATTTCATTAAAAAATTGTCTAATCACAGCCCTACTTTACAAAGGTCTTTATGACTCTTTCTCTCTACCTTATAATGAGGTTTCAATAATAACAAGATTTGAAGGACTCATCTTAAAATTGTTGTTATGGGGATATTCAGGGCACAAGTTACCTTTGTATGCATCAAGATTATATCTGTCAGCTTTCCCAGAATCAAAGCCATCATGTCTTCCTACAAAGCATTTCAGTGAAGAATGCTTGAAGACTACAAAGTATTTTCTGAAAATATGGTTTTGTTTGTTTGTTTGTATGCTAATTTTTAAATAGAAGCTGGCAATGTTGATTATTAAGGCATTCAACTGATGGGATCAAAATACCATATTTTTCATAGTTTTGATTAAAGGAGTTCAAGGCAAATCTTTCATGTCCACTATGTTTTATTTTATACTAAATGACCTAACAGGCCCCATCCGGAACTTACAAATTTGGTTTGGAAACTGAATGGATATGTGTTTTCACAATTCTAAAGAGCTAAAGCGTGAACAGATTTCTGTGCATACTCCAATTAAAGCATCAGCCTTCAGAACCAACGGATGTTCTGAAGAACATAGAGAAAGGGAGGTAGTCCACTAAGAAAATCAGCACTAGGTAGTTCAAGCCCACCAGCCACTCCTTGGAAGGAAGATTGGGCAATCTACTTCTGTAGAGATACTGCCTTGGAAACCCAAGGAGGGGTCTCTATGAGTCGGGATCAACTCAACGGCAGTGAGTTTGAGTGACCAAAAAGTGACAGTGTAAGACAGTGAATGTGTGTTGTTGTTGTTGTTGTTGTTAGGTGCTGTTGAGTCAGCTCTGACTCATAGTGACCCCATGTACAACAGAATGAAACACTGTCTAGTCCCGCACCAGCCTCACAATCCTTGCTATACCTGAGCTCATTGTTGCAGCCACTGTGTCAATCCATCTCATTGAGGGCCTTCCCCTTTTTCACTGAGCCTCCACTTTACCAAACACAATATCCTTCTCCAGGAACTGGTCCCTTCTGACAACACAACCAAAGTAAGTGAGATGAAGTCTGAACATTCTTGCTGCCAAGGAGCATTCTGACTGTACTTTGACTGTACTTTGCAGACCTTGGTACTTTGAGTATTCTTCACCAACACCACAACTCAAAAGCCTCAACTCTTCTTCAGTCTTCCTTATTCACTGTCCAGTTTTCACATACATATGAGGCTTGGGTTAGGTACTCTTTGTTCTTCAAATAGACATCTTTGCTCTTCAGCACTTTTGCAGCAGATATTCCCAGTGCAACACAACATCTTATATCTTCACTGCTGCTTCCATGGGTGTTGATTGTGGATCTAAATAAAATAAAATTCCTCACTAGCAACATTAGTCAGAAAAAAAAGAGGACATATTGCAATATCAGTAATAAAAAGAAAATTTATCTAGAAATTCTCCAGACAATAAAAGGATAATACAAAGATATTATTTAAAATTTTATGCCCCCCAAAATCTGAGAAGTTAGAAGAAATGGATAAATTCCTTTAAAAAATATGCTACTAAAACAGACACAAAAAATATAAAATCTTAATAGTCCTCTCTCTATTATGGAATTTACAGCTTTTATTTTAAAAATCATTTTTTAAAAAAAACCTCCAGACCCAGATGGCTTCACAGGTGAATTCTTCTAAACATTTAAGGAAGGAAAAACACCAATATTACATAAACCCTTCAAAACAAAGGAAAAAGAAGGAATATTTCTCAGCTTATTTTGCTAGAGTAGGATAACATCAACCCAAAAATCTGACAAGGATTTTGCCAGAAGGGAAAACAAAGGCCAGTCATGAACTCATGAACATAGACTCAAACATTCTATACAAAATATTAGCAAATCAAATCCAGCAATATATAAAAGGAGTAACAGCACAATCAAGGTATGCTCCAAGCATTTCAGAATGGTTTATCACTTCCAAACAAAAAATGTAATCCAAAGCATTAACAGAAATAAAAAGGAGGAAATTTATGTGATTATTTCAATAAATGAACAAACACAAAATTCAAAACTCATAATGATTTTTAAAACTCTCAGAAGGAGATAATAAAGACAAAAGAAGTAAGAAGCCAGGTAGAAAACAACAACAAAGGAAATCGGACTCATAAATTAAAATGGTGATTCTCTGAAGAGAAACCACAAAATAGAAAACCACTACCCAGTCTGTTGTTGTCAGGTGCTGTTGAGTGGGTCCCAACTCACAGTGACCTTATAGGCCACAGAATGAAAACACTGCCCTTTCCTGTGCCATCCTCACAATCGTTGTCATGCTTGGGTTATCATTGCAGCAACTATGTCAATCCATCTCATGGAGGGTTTCCCCTTTTTCGCTGACTCTTCACTTTACCTAACATGATATTCTTCTTCAGGGAGTGGTCCCTCCTAACAACATGACCAGAGTATGAAAGATGGATGAAGGCTGGCCATTCTTGTTTCTAAAGAACATTCTGGCTGTACTTCCTCCAAAACAGATTTGTTTATTCTTCTAGTTGTCCATGGTACCTTCAATATTTTTCCCCAATGCTACAATTTAAAAGCATCAATTTTTCTGCAGTGTTCCCTATTCACTGTCCAGCTCTCACATGCTGTGGTAGTTAAGGTTGTGTATCAAATTGTCTGGGCTGTTGGTTTGACAGGCTTGGCAACTGGATGTAGTTATTCCCCATGATGAGACTGTAATCACCTCTCTGGTGGAATCAGCTGTGAGCAGCTAAGTAGCTGAAGGGGAATTACCTTTAGGGTGTGGCCTGCTTTCAGTAAATATGGAGAAGGCTTGGGAAAGATCTCTAGCTTTTTGGCATGTTTTGAATCCTGCATTTGTCCAAGTCTTCATCTCCAGTTCCTGGACTTGAACCTGTGGACTGCTGTGTTGTCTGAGTGGCGATGCCCAGACCTCTACGACTGCTGCTTGACAAAGCTCCAGCTGTCAAGAGTCTTGGGCGGAAGCCAATTCCACCTTTACTTCCGATTGTATTCTGGTCCGTTATCTTAATTGTTACAATAATCTTTATGGTGATCATGCCCCTTCTGGTTCATCCCAGAGGGTCCAAAACTGATTTTCATGTTTTCCATGAATCAGGCCACCTTCCAGATGACTCTCTGATTTCCAATTCCCAAAACCCCGGTTTTCCTAGAAATCCCCATGATGAGCCAGAGCTGCAAAGGCCCCTGGGAATCCTAAAGACATTGAGAATTCATATTGGTGGAAAGATCTCATGGCTACTCAACCTCCTACAATACCAACCCCTGCAACACAACATAGAAAAGGGATTACTCCTCATAGGAAAAAACCTTGGCCTAAGTGGCTGCCTCCTACAGTTAAGCCTCCTTTTAAGGTAGCTTATAGAATTAATGGTAGACTTTGGTATCCTCCTCGGGGAGGGGAGCCTAAACCTTCCCGATGGCCTAACCTTCCTCTTCCTTATACTGGGGCATACATAGAAGGTAAAAGAATGGTGTGGGTAGATGGAAAAAGAATTCCTTTTATCTCTCTCCCT